TCAAATGTGAATTTCACTTTGAATTCCCAGTAATTCTCACTTTAGTGCATAACTCTGAAAGGATCCATACTCACTGGCAGACTGAGAACCATCTGTGTTTTATGAAATTACTATCACAGCCAGGGCTAGATTAAGAGCCCATTGGTCCTAGTGCTGACAATTATGATGGGCCTAATTACAATATCTTATCGACCAAAAACACTAAAACAGTCCTACCTCCCAAGCTTCATGTATTTGATGGAGATGGTGCTGGAGGGAAACCCTATGCTAATCTCACGCTTTCATCTTTCAAGTAAATCCATGCCCATTAACAGCGGTGTCCGGTAAAGCAGGAAGTCTATGGATGGGGTAAAAGGGTGGGCCACTGATGCAAATCACTTAACAAGAGCTGCCGAAAGGGGCGAACATACCCAAAAAGGGGGCATGTCTGTGTCCCCATGTCGCCCAGTTTCCCCATTTCACTAGGACACTAGGGGACATTGAGAGACCTTGGGACACTGAGACACTTGGGAACAATGGGTGACTTTGAGACACAAGGGGACACTAGGAGACATGGGACACTGAGACACTGAGATGCAAAGGGGACACTGTGATATATAGGGGACACTTGAAACTTGATAAAGACCTGAGTACAGGTCAAAACGTTGCAGTGTCCAATAAACCTGCTTAAATCTATCACAGTGAGTGCCTGAGATTGTTTTTCTTTTATTCTAAGGGACACTGAGACACTTGGGGGCACTTGGAGACTAGGGGACACTGAAACACTTCGGACACTGAGTGATACCAGGGACACTGGGAGACATGGGGCACTGAGACACCGTGATAGATAGGGGAAACTGAAGACTTGATAAAGACACGGGTACAGGTTGAAACATTGCGGTGTCCAATAAACCTGCTTAAATCTATCACAGTGGGTGCCTGAGATTTTTTTATTTTATACTAGGGGACACTGAGACACTGGGAGACTAGGAAACACTGAAAAACTAGGGACACTGGCACACTGAGAGACACCAGGGACACTGGGAGACATGGGGACACTGAGACACTAGGGATACTGGCTGGGAGACATGGGGACACGGAGTGCCCCATGTATCCCAGGTCTCAAAGTCACCCAGGGTCCCCATGTCTCCCTGTGTCCCCCAGTGTCACCATGTCTCAGTGACCCATAGTGTCTGTGTCCCCATTGTCAGGATATTTATATCGGCAGACATTATTAGCTTGTCCTGCATCTTGACCTAAACGGTTTTCATTATTTTGCACTTGCCTTCCATTTGGACTTGTATAGTGTGATATTCTCCCCCTGTTACACTTCCCCCGTATTAACCCTGTATTTTCTGCTTTATTAGCCTGTTTGGTTTTCTGTTGCTGGCACCTTTTCTTTCCTATGCTTTACTCTGGTCTTGCACAGATCTCGGCGTTTTACCGAGAGCACGCTTTTTTATTCACTGGTGCTAGGACTTCAGGGCAGGTCTATGGGGGTTGGGGGTATTGGGGGGACTCTGTTCCATACCGGCGGGCCGCGATCGTATCCTCTATCGTGGGCCGCACGGCGCTTTTGCGCGCCAACAGCAACCATCTTGAATCTTGCAGCACTCGCGAGATTCACGTCTGCCATGTTGTTTAGCCAGTTCGTGATTCCGGCGAACTGGCAGCTAGATCTGTACTGTTTAAAATATTTTTCCTGCGAAATTGTTTGGAGAACCATTTATCTCAGCAACGGTTTTGGTAGTAAGGAAGAAGATAGGAGACTATCGCCCAGTCATCAACCTACGCCAACCCAATGGTTTTGGGGCGTATCGACACCTCAAGAAGGAAGGTATCCAATCTACTCCTCGAAAGGGGTTGAAGGGCACTTACCTACTGGTTCACATGATGCCTCATGAAGTGTCTGAAGCCAGTCAAGGCGCACTGAAGAGCAAAAGGTATCTGCTGTCGCATACCTAGACGACTTACTGATCTTTTGCAAATCCAATTCCTGACTACGTTTACAGACGAGATTTATGTTTCGGGAATTGTTGGGATTCATAGTGAACAGAGAGGAGTCGGTTCGATCCCAGTTCCGAGTGATTCAGTTCCTCTACTTTGGAATAGATTCCACCTTGGGCGGATTCCACCTTCCCACATCATTGATAGCGATGATTCATAAGGAAATTTGACGGGTACCGCTGAAAGGCACCATAACCCTTTGATTATTTCCCAGGACTGCTTCACTACCGGGCAAGACAGCGGCTGAAAGCTCACTACCCGAGATCCGGACACACCTATGAAATTGGGATCAGAATAGCGAAGACTTCGATAGTACTCATTACCGCGGTAAAGGAGTCAAGCGTGGCACCCAGAATGGTCCTTAATCGGGATCATCCTCTGCTCCTTCGGGCAGATCCAAAAGGAGAACATCATCCATTGATAATGCAAGAGCGTCTGGAGTTGGTGGATTGGTGTCTTTCAGGGGAGACTGGTATGTCAAGGGACTATCGCAACCAACTAGAGACCTATTATGGGACTCATGGACACCAGGTATTCCCCGAAATAACTTATCCGCATGGAACACCTGGAATCACTGGTGTATGGGAAGGGACTGCGATTCCTTTATTACCCCTATCTCCTCGATGCTGAATCTTTATCATACCTTTTCGCAACGAGCCGATCGGAACGATCGGACTGTTCCATTAATGGGATATGTTCCGCGATTTTGACGACGCATAGTACGATTCACGACACTCCGGTCGATCAGGAGCCTTTGATATGCCGCTTTCTGCGGGGTATCAAACTGTCCAGAATCATGCTTTACGTATTACTGTTGTGGGACTTTGATTTGGTTCTTTTGGAACTACTCAGATAACACGGACCTATCTCGATGTCAGATAGCAAGAACAAACAAAGATATAAGGATGCGCCTAAAATGTGATAAAATAAAGGACTAGATTAGTCAGATAAAATACAGAATAAAATAAGTAATAAAACAATAGTCCAATAAAATAGGCTTATCACAGTCCGTGAGGGTAGGTCCCACTTGTAAAGGAATATTCTTTAGGGTGTAGATGGGATTGTATCTTCAAATGTTGAAAATTCAGCATATGTGGAGAGAAAAATAAAAACAGGACTCCAATGGCACAGTAAATCGGTGTATAAAATAAATATAAAAGTATAAAATCAGTCTTACTCACACTTTTCAGAGCTAGGATCAGCTCTGATATTGCTCGCGTAAAGTGGAATGATCCCTACTTCAAGGCTATATGGAGTGAATTTTGATAGTTGAATATCTGACGTGGGTTCAGCGTTCAATTTGACGTAATACGACCCTGAGGAAAATATGAAATAAAATATATAGTGCTCACTGTATGTAATCCAAAATTAAAAGAAAGTAAAGTATACTACTCACGTAAAGTAGAGCAGACTCAAAACTGCTCAGTGAAGGCGCTCGGGTGGTATAATCCCCACCTATGGATTCTTTGCACTTCCTGCAGGGTGAGCCGTATACGTAAAATCAAATAAAAGAAAATGTATGTAAAATCAGGTAAAGGAGAAAGCAAATGGCAATAAAGTATTATATGCCAATAAAATATTTTTATTATAAAATTAAGAACAAAATCTATTAATATCTCTATTTTTTTCTCTTTTTTCTCTTTTTCCTATCTCTCTGTCAGCAGTCAACCATAGTCATGTTACTTTTAGGTCTTTTCGTCGGGTATCAGATGTACTGGAGTTCGACGTAGACGGTCTTTTTGGTATCACCGGAAGGAATGATTTCTACGGTGTCTCGTATAACTAAATCTTATCCGCGTCCGTATCTTACCCTGTTCCCGGCGGTTTCCCCAGTCTTTGTGCAGTTAAAGCGGTACTTCGTTACATGGAGATCACAACAACACTTAAATTGTCACATTCAGGACATCTGCTGGTCATATACCTACCATACAAGCCAGTTACCATGAACACTCTGTCTAGATGGGTTCATTGGTTGTTTTCGCTAGCGGGGGTGGAGACGTGTTTTGGGAACTCATTCAGTACGAGGCGCGGCTGCTTCTCAGGCCTTCATGGGGGGCCTCTATATTTTACAGCGATGAATTGGACACGGATAGACTACTTCCGTATATTTATTTTCGTCAAACCACACACGCATCCTTCTCGCTCAGACCACAGCTTTAAAAATGCAAAATATGAAGCCACCTGTCATGTGATAAACTTGTAGATTATGCTAACGTAGTGTACCTATAATCTTAATTTTAATAATGACAGGAGGCGAATTGTTTCCCTCCCTGTTTCCCTCCCTATACTCTGGAAAATTCTAATATCTGGTTTGTCATTTTCTCAGTGTAATATTAAATTATAAGGTTTTGGTATTTCAGTATATTTATGGGATGCTTATCTGGTTGACATGTGTTAGATCCGTGTTGATTATTAAGTATACTATGGTTGTTTAATGTTTCAGTATATTAACTTAATATAAATATAGATACATATAGTACTGGATTTAATGTGGACAACTGTTGGTTTCCATCACCTTTCACGTATTTCTGTTCTCTTCAGCGTAATCATTATAGATGGATTCGACAAGATAAAGCTGGAAGGTTTCAAGATTCGTTTCACGTTATGTGCTACACGTTACTCAGGACTGTTATTTGAATTCACTGACGTTATAATAGACTGTTTTTTGCATCAAAGAAAGAGGAAGTCATGTGTCTGTCAGGGCTTTATATATGGATGTGATGCCTGTTACTGATTGGTTTAAAGTTTTTTTCTGATTGACTTGTGCTGCTGGAGGCATAAAGTAAAGAAAGTTATGCAAAATATTCGCCTTCTGTCATTATTAAAATTAAGATTATAGGTACACTACGTTAGCATAATCTACAATTCTCCTATTAGAAGCAATTACAATTGTCTACAACTTATTTGATTATCAGAGAGATAGAAGATAAATAAAACTTCTCAAGGAATCCAAATTAATTTCTTTGATTTTTCTTAAAGGTACAGTACCACAAATTATTTCTGCAGTTCTGTTACTCTATTTTCAACCGAAGCATAACAGTTTATGTGGTCAGTCAGGTACTCGATGTGGGCATTGTATGTCTTGTCTCTCTTAAAGTGGCTCTGTCACCTCAAACACAGCGTTCTCCTATTGTTTCCTCTCCTCTTACTCCTTTAGAATATGTTCTTTTCTTCTTTTCTCATCTAATTTTCTTTTTATCCTAAACTTGACAAATGAATGGAACTTAAGGAGCTTGCCTTAATCTCCATCTTTTGCGAAGATTGTCAATTATAGGAAAAATACACAAGTCAAAAGTAGTCCAGACATTGTTTTAGTTTTTAATGAAAACTAGGTCAGAAATGTAGAAAAGGAGAACACGTTCGATAAAACATAGAGAAGAAGAAATATTAGGAGAAAGGTAAGTTTGAGGTGACAGTCACTTTAATTGTCCATCCCTTGTGAGCTCTTGGCCTACAAATCCATGTTGTGTAATCAGAGAATATCTAGCACCCCCAGATTGCGGTCACTTTATACTGCAGAATAGACTTGTAGGGACAGGTCCTCCTCTGACACAAAGAGTTAATTGCCCTCATCCACTTGTCATTATTTTTCCAGACTATGTTTAGATGTACTGCTGAGGCAGATTGGGCAACATGTGTGGTTGAGAAATTAAAGAAGCTGGCAGGAGATAGACT